GGTCCAGCGTGGACAGTGAGGCCCGTCCAAGGCTCCATGCGGAGCATTCGGCCACAGTGGGCAGGGCGGGGCCTCAGGGAGCACGGCCTCCCACGGATGACTGAGGACCTGAGCCAGGGCTCCTGTGTGTGGGAAAGTTGATCAGGGGTCCCACACTTCGTGTCCCCTTGTGTCCTCACCATCTGGACACCCCGTCACTCAGCCCCAGTGCCCCAGGAGTCAAGACCACCAGTCTCCCATTTGGGACAGGGGCCTGAGACCCTTTGGGGCCAGCAGTGCATGGTCCAACCTGAGCCTGGGCTGCACCAGGCGCACTCAGCACCAAGAAGCCGCAGCCAGATCGCCGGGCACCTCCGCGGCCTGTCCCACGAGCCCCAAAGTGGCCTGGCAACTGCCCAGAGACAGAGGCTCCCCGGGGCTGACCCAGCCCCCCCCGGGAGCACCGCGGTGGCCGACATGCTGACAGTGGCTGCTGGCACAGACAGAACGCACGCAGAGGAACTGTCACATTTCAAAGCCACAATTAATTTCCTCTGCTCATTAGCCAATTTATTCAATTAACTGAGCCCTGGAAGAGTCCAGATAACTCATAGGCCTTACATCCGTTTTCTCCCGACCCGGCTGTGGGGAGAAGGGGCACCCAAGCTCAGCGGGTGCACCAGGGGTAGAGGACAGGAGGTTCCGGGGTTCCAGGTGGGACTGGGGGTCGGGCAGTGGGACACACGGGAAGCCCTGCCCATCGCAGACGGCGCATGGGACCCAGCTCGGCTCAGCACTGGCATGCAGGGAGCCCAGGGGAGAAGAGAAGGGTGTCCCTGGCAGAGGGAAGAGCAAGTGGGGTGGCCAAAGTGGGGGAGCATGGCCTGTCCCAGGACCTGGCAGCGGGTGAGTCTGACAGACTGGAGGAGGGGGCCAGGGGACGCCGGGCACTGTCATCCCTGCGTGCAGGACTCGAACGGAGTGGGGGGCTGCGCCCACAAAGACCCGACCCCCGTGCTGCGTGAAAGCGTCCGTCCAAAGCAGAGAAGGCCCAGGCCCCAGGCGACCAGGCCCTCTCAGCCCTGCTGCCTGGCGGTGGCTCTGCCCGGCGTCCCAGAAAGTGGCGCCCGGTCCAGCCAGATGTACAGCGGGGCCAAGCCCGCAGTTCAGGGGAAGATGGTCCCATCCCTCCAGCGGCCCTGCCCCAGAAAGCACCAGCGGCAGCCCAGGCTTGTTGAGTTCGAGAACAGACGGTCACAGATGGCACAGTAGGGGGTGCAGGGGAGGCGGCAGGAAGGAGGCTCCGCACGCCCACACCTCGCACGCCCACACCTCGAGGCAGGGCGAGATGGGGAGGCTGCCTGCGGCTCCCTGACATGTCCCCAGGCACTGACGAAGAAGTCCCACAGAGAAGGGCACCCCCGCAGCACGCCTGCAGGCCCGGGGCTGGGTCCCGGGCAGGGCGCCTCCAAGCTGCAGGGCCGCCCACTGCTCCAGGCAGCTCCACGGTAGAGAAAGACCTATTCCCAGGCCTCTCCCTGCCCACAGGCTCCCCGGTAACCAGCGGCCGCCCGCCCGGCACGCAGCGGCATCCCGGGCCCTGATGGAGGACTGGGAGACAGGGAACCTCATGGTCCCTGGGCACAGCATCCTGGGACAGGGACACTTCACTGGGGTCCAGCCCCGGGAGCCTGGGGGCCTCTCTCAGACACAAGGCTCCACCCTCCCGCCCGCAGCCCCGCAGGCCACCCGAGCTTCCCGTGGACGCTCGGGGTCACGAGCACAGCAGGGGCTCCCGTGTGCTGCCCTGCACGCCTTTCTCGCCCCTGGGCTCCGCTCCGGATGGACGCAGCTGGCAGCCGTGGGTCCAAAGGCACCCCATGGAGAGGGTACACTGACCAGTACCACTGTGCCACCCCCCGTGGTGGCTGTGCACTCAGAGCACTTGACCCCTCCGGGCCCCAGAGGGCATGGATGACTCGTGAAGACCTGGGTTTGCTTCCTCCCAAGTGAAGGCAGGGAGCAGCCCCCCCACCCCAGGCTGGGAGCTGCAAGGCTTGGCTCGGCTCAGCTAAACACCAGCACCATCCTGGGGCTCTGGGAGTATGCTCGAGCCCCCCAGCCTGGGGACTGTCCAGGCTGCAGGGAAAGAAAGAAGGGGCGGGGGAGGCGTCTCTGATGGCAGGAGGCTTTCTGCAGCTCGAGCTAATTATGATAATGAATTCAAAGTCAGGATGCTTCCCTGGCAGCGGTTGCCAAGGAGACAAGCATCACAAGCAGCTGGTCCCCAGATTCCAGAGGCCAGGATGGGGGACAGGCAGGATGGCCAGTGTGGGAAGCGACCTCAGACAGGCGTCCACCTGGGAGATGGGGAAACAGGTCACCTGGGGAGCGAGCCCTTCCGTCTCCAGCACTCCAGACCCGAAGGAGACACCTCAGCTAGACGTCAGGGGGGAGGGGGCTTCTGGCTGCAGTCTGAGCTCTGATCAGAGGTGGGACCCCTCTTTTGAAACAGGAGGAGGCACAACAAGGTCTTGAGTGCTAAGGAACTGGGCAAGGAGGGGGTCAGGGCAGGCGGAACATGATGGTGGCCACCAGGGTGCTGGAGGCTCAGGCATGGGCCAGAGGGGCCTCCAGCCACAGCCTGACGACCCCCTAGAGGTGGCCCTAGAGTGCACGTGTGCTTCTGCCTGCCCCTGCAGAGACCACCCGCACCACCATCATCTGACTGCAGAAAATATTTCTCCTCTGGAAAAACAAGACAAAGCCACTGCTGTCTCCTTCCTGATTCCCCCTCCACTGTGGGGGACACGTGGAGGGTGTCCCCTCACAGGCGGCTCCCCGCAGCCCCCACTGTCGGTTCCCAGGCCAACTTCCTCCCTTCTTCCAAGGACTGGCTCAGGAGACGGCTGGGGTTATTCGTCTCATTTGACACGTGATGAAATAAACACTTAATGAGTGAATGGCAGGGGTGGGAGGGAGGGAAGTCAACGTCAGCAGCACCCCACTCGCTCGCCCCCCAGCTCCAGCAGGCCGCTCTTGGGCACAGAGGGACAGGCGCGTGGGGAGGGGTCCCCGACTCCGAGCCCCCACCCGCAGCCCCGAAGACTAGGAGCTGTGGCCGCTCTGTGTGCACCAGCACGTGACGACCTGCAGGCCGGGGTGCTCGGAGCCTTTCAGAGGAGGAGGCGGAGCCGCGGAGCGTGGCCACGCGGGGTCCCGGCACCCCTTCCCCGGACGGTCCGCAGAAACTCCCCTCCCAGAACGCTGTCCGCTCCCGCCAGTGTCATGGGCCGGGCTGGGCCGGGCTGAGTGGAAGCCAGAGTGAGGCCACAGCAGGCCCCCGCAACCTGAGGCCAGGCTCCCCGCGAACCTCCGCCCACCTCGTCCGCCAGACTGCAGCCGGCACTGCAGCCCAAATCTAATTTTGTTCCCTAATGAACTGCTCTGCCTGCAGGCCCCGCTGACACTTACAATCTGCAGGAGTGACAGAGGACCGGCCATTGACAGCCGCTGATAGCCGCGGACGGCCACGCCAGGCGTGAAACAGACGCCGACAACCACCCTGAGGTCCGGCCAGGGTCCGAGGGAGCGGAAGGCACATTCCTGAGGCTGCCGCACACACAGACCCCACTGTGGGGCCAGGGCCCACCCACGGTGTGCCCCCAGTCCACTCCAGTCCTGCTGATGGAGAATGCGAGGTTCTGGAAGCACCCACGGGCACCCAAGGCCGCGGGGGGGCGGTGCAGCGAGCACTCAGTACACAGCAGGTGCTCAATAAATGCCTCGGACCTGACAGGCTACATACACCTCAGGAAGCACCAGACTCTCAAAGGCCAGCTCCTGGCTCAGCCGGGGAAGCCCCCGCCCCCACCCGCCCCAGCCCCTCCCCTACGGGGCCGCGGACTCCGAGGAGAGCTGTCCTCACGGGCCCTGCTGTCCTCACAGGACCTGCTGTCCTCACGGGCCCTGCTGGGAGGACTCCAGGCCTGGCGGGACGGGCACGCTCAGCACACAGCAAGGGCCGCGTCCCCAGGTGCCACCCACTCGTTCCCTGACAGCAGCTGCACTCAGGGTGATCGGCTCCCATCAGTCACCTGTCCCCACGCAGACCACAGGGCTGGACAAGGGCTCGCCTGAGTGCCCCCGCATCCCACATCACACATACTGGGGCAGCCTGAGCCACCCCCATCCACCCCGACTCTCCCTGCACCCCTGGGCCCCTCCGCCTGCTCCACCATTTCTCATAGACACGCAGCCCCCAGGCTCACAGCCCAACCAGGGTCCTCCCAAGACCTCCTCTCGGCTCCTCCATCCAGATGTCCCCACAGTGTCCCATCTCTCCATCGCCCATGCAAGCCACCTGTGGCCCCACCACCACTGAGACCGAGGGTGAGCGCTCGCCCACCCCCCAGCCGCTGCTCAGCCTCCCAGGCCGGCTTTCCTGCCCCCGGCCTCTGCACATACCCCTCTGCTGCCGGGAACTCTCTCCTGCCCGCAAGTCAGCCACAGGGCCACCTCCTCCTCAACCCCCAGGCTTCATCGTCAACAGTACCTCGTCCACCAGGCGGCCTGGGGGCCCTGACCCTTCCAAGCAGGGGTCGCCAGCTCTCCTCCCCTGCTCTGCTCACCTGCCCCCCCACATGCACAGCCAGAGCCCACTCACAGGGGTGGCCCACGCGTCCTGACGTGTGGTGGCCGAGACTGCCCCCACCAACGTCAGGTCCAATGTGAGAGCAGAAGCTCGCCGCCCACTCAGGCAGGCTTGCTGGACGGGACAGGAGCGAGGGCCTGTGGACGGGAGACCCGTGTCCAGGAGGGGCTCAGAGGGCTCCCGAAGGCAGAGCAGGGGGCCTGACGCCAGGAGGGGCGCGCCCCCCACCCACCCCAGGGAGCCCACAGTGGAGTCGACGTACTCATTAAAGGAGGAACGGCCAACATGCGTCACACGCGCCACACAGAAACCCAACCACGAGTGCCACGGCGGCTCTGTGAGGGGAAGCAGCCCTGTCCTCTGCAGAGGAGCAGGCAGGCGACGAGGCGGCCGCGTGGCGAGGGCTTCTCAGCCGGGAGCAGGATGAAGCTCTGACACCGGCCACGACCTGGGTGGACGCGTGCAGGAAGCCGACGCAAAAGGCCGCGCGGTGTGCGATTCCGCTGACGTGGCAGGTGCCGGAGGAGGGGACATGGGGACTGAGGGGCTCGGTGTTTCCACGGGGCAACAGGACAGTTTTGACACCAGAGAGCTGGAGACCGCGCCTCGCTGAGAAGACAGCGAGCACCACTGACTCGCTCCTTTCAAAGCAGATTTCGCCACAGTTCAAGACAAGGAAGGAAGAGAGAAGCGAGGCCTGAAACCAGGGACCCCCCCCCGCCCCGGGCGACGCTGCCCCCGTCGGCGCCTCGGTTTCCCTCTGTGACAGGGTGGACCTGGGCGGGGAGAGCCGGATGCCGGCCACGGCCTGGCCCCTCCGAACCCGCCCACACTGGGAGCGCCCACCTGCTGGCAGGGCCCCACCCCCGTCAGGCGAAGGACCCCTGCTGGGCCCCCCTTCTCTGGTGAAGCCTGGGTGTTCTGGGCGCATGCCGCCACGGGGTCCCGAGGTTGGAGGGCTCCCTCTCAGAAGCACCTCCTTCCATGGCTTTCCCCAGTTCCGTCCTTGTCGGCCCTGGCACCCCCAGCCCCAGCTCTCTTGGGGATCCCAGTCCTGGGGTGCATCTCTGGGGCCTGTCTGCCCTGAGCTCCCCACACACACCCCCGACACGGGACCCATGGGACCCAGTGCCCTGCTCTGTCCAAGGACTTCGCCTGGGCAGAGGGTCACCACAGCCAACT